GAGGACCGCAAGGAGGTCTTTGTGCATGGCGGTGACTGGGGCCACGCCGTTTGCTCCTAAATGGCCAATCTACCCGGACTATCAAAGAGCCAGATCACTACAGATGGACGCCTGGGCCGCAAGGAATTCTTTGTGAACAGCGGCAGATGGGGCATCCAACAGACCAAACGTCTTGTCATTGCTAAAATATTTCACACAGCATTTGGGAGAGAATTGCTTCATTATAAGCAATCGTTTTAATCATCCATGTAAAACAAATGTAATGTCTGTCATCGTCATGAAGATAACATTATCTGCATATGAAATCATATATCAATATTATCTTTATTTCTGTTATATTTTAGTATTGCTTACTTAGTAAGTCAATTATTGCATGTTATATTATTGCTTTTAAACAGTCGATGAAAATAAAATGCATCCCATAGTATCCTTCTTAAACAGCTACTACTAAAAGCAATCCTTTTAAGAGGATGTGTAGTCTGCTAAATTTTAAATGTTTAGCACTAGAACTAAGTGAGACGATACACAAGAGTTCAGATAAATCTGTGAATGCAACAAAGGCAAAAAAATAATTTCGTCTGACCGCATCCGCTATTGCTAATATTAATGTATAATTTGAATTAATTATTTGAATTTGAATAAGGATTTGAATATTTGGATAAAAATAGAATGGAAAGTCTTTAAGGCATGTTGAGATACGTATAAATAGTGCATGACACGTGATAACGTGATTTTATTTTACTCGTAAGATTGCATCGTGCTGCTTGTGTGGCTAGTTTCACATTTTCTATATAACAAATGACAAGTTTACCTCTCGGTTCATAATTAGAAATGTTTCGAGTTACAATAGTAGCATACATAAAGAAATATATTAGTCATCTTCTACGAGTGTCTGCAAGAAGCTTTTATTCACGAGCCGTATGCTGCTTTTGCGTTTGTTGCAGTGTTTTGGGCTTTCACACGACTGTGTGCTTTCTCAACACGATGATGTCGCGAATCAAGCTGACACTCGCTGGATTCTTTCCAACAAAGTTCATGAGAGAAGAAGACGTCAAGAGGGTGTATCCACAATCTGAGCAGTTCATGTTTATCTTGGAAGAGATGGGATACCTGCATCTTCAAGCCACTAAGCCTGATACCGTTGGTAAGTAATCTTCGTAATTGAAACTACTGGTGCTTCAGAATGGCACAGACGTTCTTGTATTATTTTTATTGAGCTTGGAATCGTACCATTGCCTTGCCTATTTATTCACGAATTTGCAATATTTGCAAAAACTGACTTACTAAACGGTGGGAACATTGTTATGCAATACTGATACTTATACGCTGTAGAAATGACGTTCACCAAGTGCCGGTATAGACAACTCACTATAAGAAATCCACAGACAATACATGTACGTAAAAATTTGGAATAAATTTCGTATCTTCAAATACTTAAATTGGCTTTCCTGCTACCTAGCCCGTTAGTAGGGGGAGCGCTGTGAACCCTCGGGGGGCGGACTGTTACATTCAAAATATCAAGAGCCGCGAACACTCAAAATTACTAAAAAATCCTTATTCATCATACAATTTTAATATTATTTAATTTTTCTTTTTATGCTCATCGCAATAGGCTAAAAACCTGTGCAGTTACATTTAAAAAGTTACCTCAATATCACGTAAAATAATTGATAAAATAGAAATGAATACATACAATTAGCTTCATTTTCTCGTGCAAATTTTTGAAATCCGAATTGCAATAACTTTAATCGTTCAAAACCTGCAGAAGGCCCTGAAGTTACGCGACTCATTCTGTATAATGAATTAGTTTGCATTTGTATAGTATAATTTAAAAGACTGAATATGCCATTACAAGTAATGTACTACAGATTGAGTGAATGACCCCCCCACCTGTCTCGATGAATTTTTTTGTCCCTGATCCATTAAAAAATGCTGATATGACCCCTTGTTTTGCTTCTGGACGTGGCAAATGTAGCTTCTATGCGCACGCTTTGTTGAACTCTCCTTTTGACTGTAGAGGCAGGAGTAGTGCTGACAGCTAGATACTATTTTGTAAGCAATGCAAAAAAATCAAATCTGCAGTTAATTTACATTCGCAAATGAATTTTCTGTAACTAGAGAACGAAAATATATATTTTTTCAAATGTTGCTAGTCACGCGTTCTTAAAGAAAAATTTATTATTTTTTAACACTTTTATTCATTTTTAACTGTATATAGATAAAATATTGATGGGATCTGAAACTCAGAAAAACGTGTGCAGATCTTCTCACCATACATCACATACGCGCTAGCTATTTGGTTTTGCGAAAACCTCTTTTCAGCTTCTACCTATAGTCGCCTAAAAGACTTTTTCCATTTGTCGGTTCAACAGAAAAATTGTAATATGAATTCAAGATTATATACTAGAGAAAATCAGGCCACGCATGAAAATTTTTAATTGAAAAAATTAAGCGGTTTTTAAGAAAATATCGGTTGAAAATTTCTGCAAATACGCAATTTTCTGTTTTTTTCAAAATTGTAGTTTCGAATCGGCTTACATCGAATGGGGAATATTTGTTTTTCTAAAGCATTCTATGAATAGTTTAGATAGATATGCGCATTCACGCAAGCACGCACGTGCAGACGGACGAACTTTTGGAAACTATTTGTGTTACAACAGCAGATACTTTCCACATTCTTTCTAACTTGTGCGATTTTTTAAAACTGAAGGTGTTAAACGAAAATTAGGTCTACGCTTTTTTTTTCTTCCAGTTTACACTTCCCGAGAAGAAAAATGAAAGCAAGTACGTAGAGCAGTATTTGAGATTTTTTTCTTTCTGGCTTAGAGGAAGCTTGTAGCTCCGGAAAAAGACAGCGACGTTTGGATGGAAAAACTCTTATGGCCCATCCCTGGCACTGAAATACTAGAAAAATCTTTTACTGCTAATTGGTACATTACTTTCGGTAAAACGTTGTATATTCATAATCCATGTTTTATGGATCCTTAATACCGAAAAATCGATTGACGCAAACTTCTTCCACCCGTCTGTGTCTGGTCAACGTTAGCGCCAATATAGTTCAGCCAATTTTCTACAAAATTGACATGTTTAGATCGATATTTTTCGCTCGAAGGAACTCGGAAGTCTGCAAAGAATTTGAAACGGATATTTTGACTCTAAAGAGTACTTTACATGAAACCTCAACATTTTATAATTTATATCAAATGACTTAAATTTTTCTTTCTCTAATGATGCAAAAGTCGCAGAAAGAAATGGCGTAGGTCACAACTTCGTTGCATTCCCACAATTTTAAAAACGTGCAAAAGTTCAACTTTTTCTCAACTACAATATACAATATAGGATATATTTCATAATGAGGTCTGTTCATCAAAATCTTATGTTAAAATGAGATTATGTTCAATTAAAAAATATGTGCGCTTAATTTTGTGTTAAACTTATTTTAAACTTTTCTAAGTTTCTAGATGCGTATTGGTTACTCATTAGAGCAAATAGGGAAGTTTTGCTTTAATATGAGACACTAACGAATTATAAAGTTCTGTCATTTTATTGACACTGTCTAAATCTCGCTTTTTGGATCTTCATGTGTGGCCTTGGCGACTGTGCTTCTCGGTCGCTGGTGCGCACATCCGGGATAAATTAAAGCAAGAATGAAAGGAGAAGGAATGGCGTTCTTTTTCTGATTTTGCATTTTCTTAGTCTAAATCTCACTTACCTCTGGGTCTTTAGGAGTGGCCCTGCGAGACTCCCCTGCAGGGCTGGCGGCGTACATCCTGGAGAAGTTCTCCACGTGGACGGAGAAGGACTGGCGTTCGTTGCCCGATGGCGGTCTCACCAAGAAGTTCACCCTCACCAAGCTGCTGGACAACGTGATGATCTACTGGATCTCAGGCTCCATCACCACCAGCATGCGCCTCTATAGCGAATTTTTCTCTTCAAAGAATATGGCTCTTCAGTTGGACTCGTGAGAACAATATAATTTTGCCAATTGCTCCTAGACTCGATGATACGCGTAGGTTCACCGATACTCTGTATCTGTGTTTCTAAACAAGTTCGGGAGTTTCTAAATAAACTTCACAGCGTACTTTCCTTAAACGTTTAGGCAGTTTGCTGCAAAGGATCAATAGCTTCCAAGCTTATTTTCAATGGATATCTCTTCAACAATGTAGAATATGAAGAAAATGAGTAATTTGGGGAATGTAGTCACTGCCTCTTGTTAGAATATTATAATTCTATCCAACATCTTCAACGTTTATTACGTATATATATACAATATCGCTCACCAAATCTACAAATATAATTATTTACCAATTTCCTGATTAGATTGAATTGTTTATAAGAAGATCTTGTAGACGTATTCCTTATATTTATATGTTGACATAGCATACATTTTTTGTTTGTTGTTCGACTAGTTACAGTATTGAAATTTCCTTAAAATATATTTTCCAATATCTTAAGAGGTGACAGGTTTTATACACTGTTTAAAAATCTTTTCTGAAATAAGCTAAACTAAAAAGTTTACATAGCCGAGAAAACATTAGTGTTCCTAGAAAAATACAGCTTACAATTAAACACTACTTATCGAGTTGTAAACATAGGCCTAGAAATTAAATCAATTATAAAGGATACTGGACAATCTGCCATTACAAGTGCTCTTGATATTTTTCTTTTTTTTCACTAGGGTGCCAACCGATGTGCCGACGGCGTTCGCCAACTTCCCAAATGAGATCGGCTTCACGCCGGAGTTCATCGCGGCCGACAAATACGAGCGCATCGTCCACTTCTCCCACCCCCCTCGCGGCGGCCATTTCCCTGCGCTGGAGGAGCCTCGGCTGCTGGCCGACGACATCTGGGACGCCTTCCCCAAGCTACTGCGCGCGGCGGCCGACAGGGCGCAGCACAAGGCCAAATAAACCTCCCCCCTCTCTATTTGTACATAGCACTCTGCGGTGAATACATTTTTGTACACAAATGAATACTTCCGGTGGCTTCTCATTTTCTTTCTAAAGAGTTCTCCTTATCTCCTTCCAATTCCTTTCCTCCTCCTTTCACCCGCTTCCCAGCTCCCTAACAAGGGTCAGTAAGGCCGAATGACTGTTACAACTTTTCCTCTATTTATATTGCGCTCAGTGATGACGGCTAGCTACATAAGAATACTTAAGTTTTTATTTGCTTTAATATTATTCACTTTTCCTTCTTTTTGGTGAGTATAATTATGTCATTTCCAGTTCTTCAATCGATATTGGTACATCATTTAGTGCGAACATTTTTCATTACACTTAATATAATTACATCGAAAACGTATGTACATACATGGCACTTTATGAAATGTAAGTGGAATGTAATGTTATAGTGCCGAAAACCAATATCAAGATTTTTAATGGAAATTCTTTTTCTGTTCTAATATACCGAAAAACTTACTTTATTTAAAAACTTCCGTCTGTTTTTCCGTGAGTAAGCCACTATTACCTTAAAGTATGCGTGGGATTGTCTTGAAAAATGAAAGTTCCCTTATCTATGTGGCCTGACTGGATGCCCCGCAAATTGGAAATAAAATCTTTAAATTGAGGTTTTCTTTCACGAGCTCCTTGACATTTTCAAAATTTTTAACTACTGTAAATATTGTTTTAAAATATTGCATAGTTCACCTTTTAATATTACACAGGTCAGATTTTCATTAAAATCGAGGTTTTCTAAAATTGCAAAAGGTCGTCTTTGGACTTTTTTATGACTATTTAAAGGGACTCTTAAATAGGGTATTAATTTTAAATACAAAGCGTAGTGAAAACATGGCATTAGTATAAACAATTCATGGAACACGAGCCTGGAAAACTTTATTTTATTCCACCAGAGTTTCAAACTAGCGAAATATAATAAAGCCGGCATAAATTAATGGAGAAAGATTTTGGAACTTCGAAACCAAGTGTATAATTTCATGAAATTTATCTCAAACTTAATACAAAGTATTTAATCATAAGACGTGACGAAACCTGATGTAAGTGTAGAGTTAGAAAAACTAACTGAAAAAGGACCTTCATTTAGAAATTACGAGGAATTTACGTAATTTAATTTACGTACAGTGAATAATAAAATACGGTCAAAGACCAGAGGGAAAAACGTAATTTAGTGAAAAAAGGTGTCTGTGACAGTTGAAGGTGAATGACTGTAATTGTTTTAAAAAATATTTGAGGACCACAAACAAAGATGGCAGACGGGGCTAGAGATCGGTCGGGAACCCCTGATAGTGAGAACGCGAGGTTTAATGGATGTTACCAATGTCTAACGGGTTTGCAACTTTTTCAACAACAAATGCTCGAATATCGAGCTATTGACGCGTTGGAGTGCTCTAGTAGTATAATTTAGCAACACAACAATGGATTCGCACTATAAGTTTCAAACACTTGTTATTAAAGAGCCTCAATAATGACTGCGATTACTAATGTGACAACTGTGAGTGAGCGATTTACGCTGAAAAATAATTTGCGCATTAGTGGGATAACACACATACTGGAGATGAGAACACTAAATAGAAACAATAACATAACTGAGATGAATATTCACCAATCTGTTTCCCAATAGAATGAATAATCTTGCATCATTAAATTACATTTAATTGGTAATCAAAAATTAAATCTCACTGTATCATTAGTTTTTTTAGTCGTCACTACAAAATCAAAGAAATTTTTAAACATTTTCTTGTACTACTCAAACTACTAATTTGTGAAGAATAACCACACCCTGCAATTTTCAAATACTCTTCTCTTGTGTTAATGTTAAATAAAATCTCACGTATGACCCTTAATCATAGCGTGTGAACACCAGGCATTGGTCTTTGATTTCATCCATAGTACCATTCAAATATTTACTCACAGAAATAATCATTCAGGACACAATAAACATCTACTACATCCTCTTCGATTAAACATAAACTGTGTTGATCTGCGCTGTCCGGGTGACGACGTGCTGTCCAGGTGCCAGCATTTCAACCTTCCACATCCCCAGGGACCTCAGCCTTGGACGCAGTGTCACCCGGCCAGCCCATATCATGTCTCTGACTGCGAAAGCCTACAACATCATAAACTGCGATGTCGTTTCTCCCATTAAATGACTAATATCCCTATTGTATCCTCCCCAACCTGTACACACTACTGCTCAATATGATTAAGAGGCAAAATACTTGTTATGTCCTCGCCTGCACCTCCGGTCGCCTGGAAGCCTTTGGGAGATTGCGGCTCCGCCCTTCGCCGCTCGGAGTCGCATTGAGTAAAACGGCTGTGGACGCAGCATCCCCCACCACCGCCTCTTCACACTCCACTCCCCGCCACGCCGCTCGTCGCCCTGCGCCGCAGGAACTCGTACACTGTCTTACTCTGCACGTCTTACCCTCGCCGTGCAGTCGAGGCATTGTCACTCCACCATAAATGTCCTCTATGATGATATAGGGGCCCTCCGTAATGATGACATCTTAATTGAATGGTTTATTTCAGAAACCCGTGAACGCCAAATTCCCAATTTCCAAAAACAAAAAAAAAGTGTCCCAGTATTTCGAAATATTTTTTTAATATTCATGCAGTCTATAAACAAATATTTTTCTTGTAAATGTGTACTAAACGATGGAACAATATTCCACCGCTAAAGGGTATTTTAGATGTTGGCGTTTGACGGGTTTCTGAAGTAAACGATTTCATTAATGTCCTGACATAGCTTTAGGACGTGACGGCATGCCTCAGTCAAGCCACATGATCGTTACCCATTTCTTCCAAACACTGAACATTGCCGTATACTGCACAATGCCGATATGTCCATTCTCACATTCTCCGGTGAAACCAGTCTTTTATTAGCATGATCCACGCCACATGATTCCATGCATCCACATTCATCTGACCACGTCTCCTAATTATTTATCTAGACCACGTAACTAGTTTTACATCCCAGAGGAATCAGTGTAGCAGATTCACCTCAGTTCTTCTACATTCTATTAGCATTTGACACTTTACACAACCTAGTTCGTCGTAAACACCGACATCGCACCAGTTGTTCAACTAATCTGGCAAATTTATTAACGTTCACTGCCCTTTACCACACAACCGGACGACTCACCGTGTTGCGGTTCACTGACTTTCGTTCGAGTCTCCCGAACGTTGATTACCGGTTCGCGCACTTGTTAGGTGTGCAACTGGCCTCGTCGATCACCGCTGTGTGTGTGTGTGTGTGTGTGTGTGTGTAAGAGGTGAGGATCCATGGCCTGTTTGTAAGGGTACTGCTCTGGCATTCGCCTGGTGTTAATCGGAGAAACCACGGAATACTACCGATCAGAGCAGCCGGCCTCTAGAATTCTCCTCCAGACAGTGACTGAACTCGATCTAGCTGACACGTTAATGTCGAAAATATTTCCATTGTCGGGTCTTGAACCTAGAGTCAGTGACACTGCAGTGACTCGAAGCTAAATTATCTTGGTTCAGATCAATAGATTAATTGTTGTTGGGCAGCTCTAGTCGGAGAAATGCGAATCAAGATTAGTCCTGTCGGCAAAAACTGAAAAAATGGGGTTACCTGTAAAATAAACCATATGCTTTGAATACGTTATTTATGCTAAAAACAAGTGTTTTTTTTAGCTTTTTCTTGAACTGTTTAAACTGTAGGAAAGTTATCCAAATCAATTTTAAAGAGAATAAAACATCCTACGACTTTTCTATACATCATTTCTTAAGACACCAATTACAAAGTAAGATTATAGTTTGTTACATTTTTTTTCATTTCGTCAAAATATGTAGGTAATGGGCGGTACTTATGGACATTGTGTTAGGTTTCTGTGACGCGGCCTCGAGTTCCATTGAAGGTCCGGTCAAAACTCAAGCTGTAGCTTTGTAAAACCATTTCGACTGAGTTTCAAAAGCTGAATGGAGATAGAAAAAGAAAAAATTTCAGATACGGTGACAGGAGTGCATCATGCTTTCCACATGCGTCCTTTAGAGGGTGGATAATACATAAAAACAGATCCCAAGCCTGGGTGCATCCTTAGCTAGCCAAGTCGGATTAATTTGACTCTAAATCCCGTAGTGAGAAAATATATAGTTCTATTTAAAAAATAACAGAATAATACAATTTTCGAAAAAATAGAAATATTACTAACAATATCTCTACTGTATAGTACTTGCACTATGACTCAGCATTGTTGAGCGACAACTGCATTTCAATGTCGTGAACAGTTTAGAAGTAATGAGAGTGACTCGTAGTTGATGGAGACACCCGGTACAAAAAATAACCATAATCTAGTCCTGTGTACCAGTAGAAAATACATCTAAATTGACTTTTTACCATTGAATGATTATATTTTTTAAATAAAATATAAGTAAGTACGTGCGGCAAACATTTCCTAAATGAGTAGCAACTATGTACATCAACAGTTTCGTGAAATCCATAGTTTGCTTCTTATCGTTTGTCTGTGACCTACTAGTCGATCGTTTGCATGACATTGAGACTCTCCTCGCGAGACCTTCAAAATCCTTATCGGAGTGTCTGCTTCACCAACCGTTGTTATCAATCTTGCGGAACTGCGAGTCACCGTGATGTTCGTCAAGTACTAAGATGATATACCAATGCATATTCGTCACCATTACTAAGGGAAGATGTTTTCTAGGTATCTTTCAATTTTAACTCATGCTTTGGAAGTGCTTAACCACACTTTTCAATTCTTTGCAAACAAAAAGAGTTTTCTTTGCTTATTTCTGTGCTTAAATCTTACAATCACTAGTGGGAAGCTGTCAAAACGTGACGTCAGGAACCTACAGAAAATATACAACATTGTAGCCAGACACATCGACAGGGCAAATTCTGAAGCAAAAAGAAGTAATAGGTAATCTCTTAAAATATACTGCGTGGTTCTCAAATATTGTCATTTCATTTGTTCTACAGAGAAGATAAAGTTATTTCTTACTAGATTTAATGCAGCACAAACTCAATTGTAATTGAAAAAATAACACTTTTGTACTTTCTTCTAATATATATGAAGGTAAAGTTATTTTTTCAAGCAACACATTATAAATTGATTTGCCGACTTTCTCTGACATGAAAAATACAGAGCGCTGTGTAACTTACAATTTACCTTCTATACTTTACATGAAGGGTACGTTAGATGAATTTTCATAAGATTTGTACTT